AAACAAACTAACCCGGAAGCTTTGGGGGGTGGGGGGGTGGGGAGGGTACTCATTTTTACGTATCCCGTGTTCGTTAGACCATTGCCCTGGGGTCCCTGCAAACCCAAACACGGTGGGGGGGGGGGGGTGTTATGAGGGATGATATCGTTTGATGATGTGGCTCGTGACAATACAACCTCGCCTGTTCAGCTGCTCGTGACAGCCCAAGCGTGCGTAAAGAGGCGAAATTGTAAAGCGAGTGCTGTTTTCTCTAGATTTGCTAGACTGGCACCGGGTTTTGATTCTCTTCGTTTCGAGAGGTTTCTCGCGCAGGTAGTCACCCCCCCCCAAAAAGAAGTAAAATCTTGTTTTTGCACGACTTTTCTGCGTGATGCCACTTAAGTATAGTATGTTTCACAAGTATCCCACGTGCGAACCGCGAAACACGATGATGGAACGGACGACTTGCCGCCCGAACGCGCCTTCATTACTCCCCCCCCCCACCCCGCCGCCCAGGTCATTCGCGCACGCGACCCCCGGAGGCGCTCGGGTTTGGAAGCCGGCGGCGGCACCGAACCAGGGAACCCCCTGGGCAGCGGGGCGGCAACAGCAGCCTGCACGCACCTTGGCGACGGCAGGAGAGCCCCGTCAGCAAGGAGGAGGGGTTAGCTCGGCCGCAACCCCTGGAAGCATCCGGAGGCGTCGGTCTGGCAGGGCCTACGGTGGTGATGCGAATACGCCGGCGTCGATGACAAGGCGGATCATGAGTGCTCTGGATGACGCAGGCAGCCCGAGCTCGCTACGTCGGGTAAGATTCAGGCGGAGAAAAGTATCATGGTTGTGTGTCGGTGGTTAGGCGCGCAAGCGGCGGCGAGGGGGCGGGGGCGCTGACTGGTCATGATTTCATTCTCTGCGCTTAGCTGGAGCGGGGAAACGAAGTTCACATTGTTGTTGTTGCTGTTGTGGCGTCTTTTGGTTCCGTTGCCTATAATAGTTCCATACCAAACGATGGCTGTTGTTGCTGCCGCCCTCATGCTTACGCTATGCCACCAAGCGGTGTTGGCGCGCATTCACTCGATCGGTGGGATCGAAAGGGGTCTCGCATACCGTGCGGCACGTGATCTACGTGGTCACTGGAGCCCGATTCTGGCGGCCCCGTCGTGTCATTCCCCCCCCCCCTCCCAGTCTCGAAAGGGACGCGTGGTCAATGGTCAAATGACTACGGCAAGCAACAAATGAGTACGCCCCCCCCTCCCAGTTACAGAGAGCTTACAATTGTCTCTGGAAGTGGTTGCACCAGAACATAAATTAACTCATACGCAGCTGTCATCCGTACGCAAGGAAGTAAGCACAAGATGCCGAACATCCCTACTTAGCAGGATGCAGCTCACCCTTCATGCGACTCGCGGAATACCTCACGGCGCTTCGCGCTTGGCGATGTGAGAGCCTGGTCCGGTGAGAACCCGGCGTGCTCGGTCCCGGCTTTGTAGGGATGCGAGGTCAATGGTCTAACGACTACGGCATGCACGACTATGAGTACACCCCCCCCCCCCCCCCCCTCCCCCCCCAGTGCAACCCTTGTCGGAAGGGCCCTTGTCT